TCCTAAGCACCTATTATCTGTCTGCCCTGTTCTAGGCACTGGGTTACAAAGACAGCATGCAGGCATGGATGGGGTGGTAGTGGTGGGGACACAGATTATCATACAGAGTTACAACTCTCAGTGAATCTAGAAATGCACAAGGTGATTCAACCATCACTTAGTAGGCTGGTATCGCCTCACAAATTCCAGGCTGGAAGGATAGTAGCTAAGTGGTGTTTCAAACTAAGAATCCCCTTTTTGTTTGCTCCTCAACAAATAAAAGAAAAGAAACCCTAGGGAAGGGTGGAGAATAAAAGGGAAGGTAACAATAGATCACTGATGAAAGGCAACAGCAGACATTCTGGGAACAAGGGCCACTGGTGAGGCAAGAGGAGAGGAAGGTTCCGGAGGCCATTGGAAGGAGGGGTTGGGGGCCAATGCTTAGCTGCTCTATGGCCCCCCTCACCCCAACATCCTCCACTACCCAAGCCCATCCAGGCTCCTGAGACCTTGTAGGTGAAACTGAGAGCAGGGAAGGGCACCCAACCCCAATCCAGTAATAAACAATCTTATTCTTTGTCATGTTCAATGTTTTGATTTTGAAAATCAAACTTGGGGTTCCAGTATATTCTGTGGGCAATGGTAAAAAAATTTGCCAATTATTTTTTACATCTCAAATAGCTGCCTTACAGTAACTCTAGCTACATACTGGAAAATAAAGAGTCAAGACTTTATACCTAGGTGAGAAAACCAGAAACCACTCAACTGTATGTACTCTATTGTTGACTCCCAAAGTAAGGTGAGTTTCAGGCCCCATGATGCCCCATAAAGGTTAACCTGATTGGACTGGGTCGGGGACAATGACATATGCTAATTGGAAACTGTGTTGAGCACCAGGGAAGAAAAAAGAATAAGACACAGATCTCGTTCTTACAGAAGAGGTAGTCACCTAAAGCCAATTATAATACAGTGTGATGTGTGCTGCAGTGGCACAATGATATATACTTAAAGTTATCAAAGGAGGGAGTTCTTAGCACTGTTGGCAGGGTAAGTGTGTCAGGGAAGACTTCAGAAAAGAAGTGACACCTGAGCAGGCTTCTAAGGATGAATGGAGATTGGCCCAGTGAGCACAATTAAGAAGGGTATTCCAAGTAGCAGTGAACAGTCTGTACTAAGGCAAAGAGGTGTGTTTGAAAATTACAAGTTGTTTGCTGTTCTGCAGGATAAGCAGCAAAGCAGGAAGCAGAGCTGGAGGCAGAACTAGAGGGAGGGCAGACATGTTTACGACTTTGAATTTGAACTTGAGAGCAACGATGAACCACCAAAGAGTTGTAAAAGGGGATACATGGTGAGACGTGGAAGCAAACTGATCAGATTTATATTTCAGAAAGATGATATTTTGGTGGTAACATGAAAGATAACCATGAGGTGAGGTCAAGACTAGAGGCCTGAGACCCATGAAGATGCTGGAAAGTTCCAGGCAAGGGCATGAGTGGGGAGGCAATAGGGCTGAAAAGAACTGAGCTTGAAATCCGTTTGTTTTACTTCTCATTTCCCTTGTGGTTCTCAAGACTGACTAATGTCCCTTCATCTCAGAGGACAGCACTGGCTTTAGTTTAGACTGAGCCAGACCTTATAGGGGGGGTGGCTGGTTGAATGCTCCCCAACACCCCTGCTCTGGCCAGGCTCACCTCTAGGTCAATCCCAAAAGGCGGCTAGGGTCTTAAAATGCTTGTCCATGAATCCTTCTTCCCAGCAAAGGTGACTGTGGGACCCTCTGGTGGGTCACCTCAGGAGATGAAAAGCCCTTTCCCCTGGGCCACTGGCCAGGTATCAGATCATCCTTGGGGGAGCCCAGGCTGGTTTAGAAAGTCTTCAAGCTGGCCTCTGCCAGGAAGCAAGAGTGGGAGTTTCCTGCAACTCTCTCACCCACAAGGAAACCTGATTCTGCAGGAGGGTCTTGGACTGGGAAAGGGACGACAGAAAGAAGGATCTGGGGCTGACAAGGGAGAAAAGGGAGCCACATTGTTCCTGGTGGGTTCACTCTCAGTCCAGACGGTGGATCATCTCCCCCCTCATTATCATCTCAAAGGAGGAAGAAAGGGCTGTGTGAGCTGGCTTCTTCCCCTTCAACAACTTCTTCCTCTCAGGAGACAGTTTGCACAATGAAGGAGGGGCTGGACAGGAGGCTGACCCTGAGAGAGCCAGGCTCTGCCAAAACCACCCGGGTACAGTGGGGCTGGCCTGCCACCTGCTGGCCACTCCTGGTATGGGGGACAGGCACCCTTCGGAAACTGCAGGGAAGGATTGGGGTTCTAAAGCAGCCAGCATCAATTTGGAGAAAGCTGGGAATGTATTTGGAGAGGTTAGCAAGTTCTTAAAGTATATAGGATAAAGAATGGAAAATGGAAAAAAAAAGAATCTAGAATGGAGTTCTGTAGGAGAAGCTGACATGTCTACAGGTAGGAAGTCTCTGTCACAAACATCCAGTGAGCGCAGAGCCAACTTCCAGGTGACTTAATGAGTCTCAGCTTCTCACTTTTTCACTTTTTCACCCGCTGAGGGGCAAGAAAAAGACTGCTGTTCTCAATACCTAATTAACCTGTGGGCATACAAGGCATGATTGAAATAGACTGGGAGAAATTTCTCTGGCCAAAATTGTGCCCCCGACAAGTGTGCACAGCCTAAAAGTCACACATTGGTCATACCTCTGGATTATAGAGATTGAAGACCAAAGTCAAAATTTAAATGTTACTTGGCTGAGGCCATTCATGACATTTCAATTCTATGCACTGTATTACACACCACATGGGCACTGGGGAGAAAGAGATTAATTAATAAGACCCAACTTTATCACCTGAGAGCTAACAGGGAAGAGTGACCAGTAGAAAACTGTAGCACAATGAGGGTAAATCCTAATCCACTCTGCCCGATACTGGGCATGAAGAAATTAAACAGGCATGCCTACAAGATGATTAATATTGCACAGTCACAATAGTCTGCAATAATAATATACACTTTAATAGCACTTACTGTCTACTAGACACATCCTAAACACTTTTATATTAACTCAGATTTTAACCCTACTTACATATATTAACTCTACAGGAAGGTATTATTTTATTCCCACTTAGAAGCAGTAACTTGTAAAGGTCATGTAGCTATTATGGGGTACAGATTTGAATCCAGGTAGCTTAGCTCTAAAGTCTGAGTTCCTAACCACTGCACCATGCTGTCATTCATTAGCTCAACCTCCATACAGGAAATAACTTCCCCTGTAAATAACCCCCATCACCATATCATGGCAAACCCTGACTGAACCAGAGAAAACAGTCAGCAGAGAACACTCAAAATCAAGGTCAAGTGTTCAGTTAAAGAGAAACAGAGGACTGCAAAGACCATGCAAGCATTCTGATTACCAGGCAGACAGATGGGCAGCAGGATTGCACAGACAAGAGTGCCTGGAAGCAACATCTCTGCAGAAATCAACCCCTTTGCTCAGAACCTAAAGATGGTCCTTTACATAAGAGCATAAGCAGAGATGAACATCATATAAGAACCTTCAAGCAAGTAGCATCACTGAGGACAATTCAGACTGGATCAGAACAGAGGCCAGGCACATGACCACTCTGGTTAAGATGAAGTGATTTCTTAGCAGGAAAATAAAGGCTGATGTCTGAACCTGCTGAACATGCTTTAATATTGACTATATTGAATATGTTATAAGCTATCTCCCACTTCAAAAGTATAGATTCAACCATTCCCAACCTGAGTTAACTTCTCAAGGAATGAATGTGAGTACACATATCCACGTTAGAATAACAGAGCATCTAGCATGCTCAGTGAAATGAATGCACTAATTTATTCATTTAATACATATTTACTGGGTGCCTACTCTATATCTACTCTGTGGCAGCTTTTAGAGACATGCACTGGCAACTTTGCCCTCCAGTCCCCACAGCCATCCATGGGTCCACTGTCAGATTTGCCCTGGATGGAGTGCTTTCATGCCTCCACATCTAGGTTTACTTCCTGGACTGCAAATTCTGTGTCTCCAACTGGACTGGTAACATTTATCATTTCTCTCTACCAAAAATCTGGAGTAGAGACCTATTTTCCACCTGCAGCTACACGTGAGCAGAGCCTGTTCATTACTTACCTGAGCACCTAAGGCTGTTACTTGAACTCAATCCGTGCTCAGTAACTACCTGTGGAACTACTGTTGCAATGACCTCAACACATGTGTCCAGTCTCTGCCCCTCAGGGAGCTTACCATCTATCCAGGTGGGGCATGCCTGAGAATAGGCCAGAAGGATGTCATTTCTGCCCACCTTTGCTGTTAAGAGGACAAGTTCTGAAACCAGACTACCAGTACATGGAAGAGCAAGGACCCAAATTCACTCTGGTCCCAAGGGTTTTGGATAAGGACAGTGGGCCTCTGTTGGTTTCTTTTACCCTCATAGGAACCTCATTTAATGAGGGAGCATGGCTGAAGCTTAAAGAGGTTAAGCAACTTGCCAGAATTAGTGTAGATTTTAAAAGTTTTCCGTTTCTAGAAAGGTAATATGATGCATATACCATATATTATGTAACAATTCCTGTGGGCTCTGGGCAGCATCCCATATCTGATGTGTTAAGATGTTTGCAGCAAATCACATGAATAAGCAGTGAGTGGCACTATGAACACTATCACAGTCTCACTTTCCTTCAAATCAGGCTCTGCTGCCAAATGGGTTGTAAAATATTTTCTAGTTTTCAGATCTTTTTGGATTTTGAATTTGCAGCTGAGAGATTGTGGTCCTGTAAACATAAAGCCCTTTGGACAGAGTGTGGCGTGAAGCAGCTGCCATGGCTCCTGGCATGCTGTACCACATGATAAATGTTAATGTCCTTCCCTCCTACCAGACTCTTGATACCACGGAGCCTCTCACAGCTCTTATCCTCTCTCCTTTGCAAGAGTGAGATAAGCCCCATCTCCTCTCCTGCCCCTGCAGGAGGAATACCTGCAGATTCTTGCTTACCAGTCTGTGTGGGCATCATCGATCACCAACAGGACCCTGGGCCTTTGAACAACAGGCACAGAGAGACCCGGAGGCTCCATCAGTCCGGACGGGGCCTGCGAGGTCTGCTTCATGGCACTGGAGAAAGAGCTAAAGAGGCTGGATCCTGGAGAGGAAAAGGAGGCTGCCAGGGGCTGGGGGTGCCTCCTCTCCATGGCCGGGGAGGCAGGAGAGCTGGTGGAGCTGTCTGGGCGCTGCAGGTCTGTCATGTAGCCGTTAGGCAGGTTGGCCACAAAGCTGCTGTCGGAGAGGCGCCGCCGGAGGAAATTCATGGCTGTGATGGATGAAATGGCTTGTTCCTACTCAGACTGCCTAGGTGAGGCCCAGATCACAGGCTGCCAAGGAGAGGGAGTGGTAGGGGCTCGGGCCAGAACAGCCAGGGGAGTCCCACACAAGTCGGCTGCAGCTTTTTTCACCTGGGGAAACAGGCCAACAAACACATTAATGGAAACGACCTCAACCCCTTAAGAGAAAACAGATTAATGCCCCTCCCTGCCCTGTTGCTGGGGGCAGTATAAAATGAGACATCTTTTTGGCAAGGGATTTGGTGACATCTAATTAGAGCTTCGCCTTTTAACCTATAATTTCCATTTTCTGGAATTCTATCCCAATAAAGAAATCTGAGTTACAGAAAAAGCCTCTTGTACAAATATATTTATCACAGCATTATTTACCCTAGCGAAATACTGGAAAGTATCTCAATGTTCGACCACAGAATAACGAACACATAAACTACAGCAGTCATTCAGTGAAACCTTTTGTGGTAATTAAAAAGAGGTATTTACAAAGGTATTTTAGTAACACAGAAAACATTTCATGCTGTAATTTAAAAGATCATGATACAAGATTATAGGTACAGAACGACTACAATCACATAAAAGTTGAAATAACAAAACTTTGGAAAGAAAAAGACATCAGAATGTTAACAGTGACTATGTTTGGGTAATGTGACTACATGGCTTTTTTTTTTTTCCTTTTCTTTCCACTTACCTATACTTTCCAGACTTTCTAGAATATATATAGCTGTAAACTGAATCGTGTCCTTCAAATTGATATCTTGAAGCACTTACCAGCAATGTGCTGGTATTTGGAGATGGGGCCTTTGGGAGGTATTAGGGTTAGACGAGGCCATGTGGGTGGTGCTCTCATGATGGGATTAATGTCCTCATAAAAAGAGACACCAAAAAGTTTGCTCTCCCTCAGCCCCGTGTGGACACAAGGGGAAGGCAGCCATCTGCAAGCCAGCAAAAGCGCTTTCACCAAAAACCAACCATGTTGGCACCCTGATCTCAGACTTCCAGCCTCCAGAACAGTGAGAAAATAAATTGCTGTTGTTTGACCCAGTCTGAGGTATTTTGTTATGGCAGCCCCAGCAGACTAATAAACAGATATATTCCTTTTCTGAACAGAATAATTAAAAAATATTAAATTGTTCATTTGAGATCAAAGTATCCCATTGAGAAAAATGATTGTTTAAATCATACAATTGGACCCCACGCATATTTTCTGTTATGACTGTATTTTTGCTGAAGTAAAATTTACTTAGAGTGAGACGCAGTCTGTAAGCGGTCCAATTCTTGAAGGTTTGATAAATGTTATTGTGGTATAAGATTTATTATACTCCAATCATCTCAGAAAGTTCTCTTGTGCCCTTTTCTGGTCAATTCACACATCCTTATAGGCAAATGTTCTGCTGATGTCGATCATCATATATTAATTTTACCTATTCTTGAACTTGATATAAATGTGATTGTATGTAATTCTTTTATGAATGGCTTCCTTCCCTCAACATAATGGTTTCAAGACTTAGTTATGCTGTATGTATCAACGGTCATTCTGTTTTCTTATCTGCTGGATGAATAAACCACAAATTGTTACTACATTCTCCTGTTGGTGGATGTTTGAAATGTTTCCAGTTTAGAGGGTATTCTGAAAAGACTTGCTCTAAGGATTTTTTATTTAAGTATTTTTGTGGAGAGAGAAAGAAAGAGAGAAAGGGGGAGGTAGGGAGAGAGACACAGAGAGAGAGACAGAGAGACTTTTTCTTTGGGAAAATACATAGAAGTTAATTTTGTTAATTCATAGTGTAAGCATATGTTTAACTTTTGAAGAAACTATCCAAAAGTTTCCCATAATGGTTGTGTTATTTTGCACCCTTCATTTGAGAGTTCAAGTTGCTCCACATCCTAACCTACATTGGCTATTGTCTGTCTTTCTAATCTTAGCCATTTTAGTGGGTGTAAACAGTATCTCACTGTGTTTTTAATTTATATTCTCTGACACCTAATGAGGATAGGCAACTATCATGGGTTTACTGGTCATTGATATGTCTTCTCTGGTGAAGTGTCTGCTGAAGTCTTTGGTCCATTTGAAAAAAATGGGTTGTTCATATTTTTATTGTTTACTTGTAGGAATTCTTTACACATTCTAGATAGAAGTATTTTGTCAGAAATGTATACTGTGAACATTTTCTCTCAGTCTTTGGCTCACCATTTCATTTCCTTCACAAGCATAAGTTTGGCAGAAAAAAATAACTCTTACAAAAAGCATACTGTTACTTAAGATAAAAACATCCCAATGAGAAAAAAAATTATACCATAGGATGAGACCATACTTTCATATTTTGTTTAATAGGAATATTTTATATATACAAACAGAAAATACATATCTACATGCATATGTATACACATTTACATATACATGTATGACATCTATTATCTATATATGCAGATATTTGGATAAACAGAAATTTAAAATTTTTATGAAGTCCAATTTACTAAATTTTTTTTTGCATTTAGTCCTTTCTGTCTCTGCTCTTAAAAATCTTTTCCAACCCCAAGATCACAATGATATTGTCTTATAATTTATTTTTTTCTTTTTCTTTTTAAAATCTTTAATTTTTTTTTTTTACTGAAGCACAATCAGTTTACAATGCTTATCAATTTCTGGTGTACAGTACAACATATAATTTCTTAAAGAAGCTTTGTAGTTTTAGCTTTTCTGCTTAGGTCCACATTCCATCAAAACTTGATTTTTGAGTGGTGTGAGGCGAGGTTCATGTATCCAGTTTTCCAGCACCTTTATGAAAATATTTTACCCCAATGAATTACTCTGGTTGCTTTGTTGGCATCAGTGGACTGCATATTACCTACTTCTGGACTCTCTAATATGCTGCACTGATCTTTTTATCCTTACACTGTCTTGATTACTATGGCTTTATAGAAAGTCCTAAAATCAGGTAAAGTGAGTTCTCCAACCTAGATTTGCTTTCACAAGATTGTTTTGGGTATTCTAAGTCCTACTTTCATATGCATTTTAAAGTTAAGTTGTATGAAAGTCTGTTGAGATATATTGTTTGGGATAATATAGAATCTAGCTGAGTTCGGGTAGAAATAAAAATCAACAATATTGAATTTTCTATCTCACAAACATGGTAGAGCTCTGCTTATTAAATCTTCTTTAGTGTCTCTCAGAAGTGTTCTGTGATTTTCAATTTGAGGTATTGCACTCATTTTGTTAAACTGATTCCTAACAATTTCTTTGGAGCCTTTTTGCATGGTATTTTAATATATACTGTTTCCTAAGTTTTATTTTCTATTTGTTTGCTACTAGCATCATATATTTTCTAATTATTGTCAATATATTGACCTGATAAATTCAATTATTACTCCCATGATTATTTATAGTTTTCTTAAGATTTCTATTTAAACAATCACACTACCCACAAATAGAGACATGTTTACTCCTCCCTTTCCCATCTTTTACTTGTCACTTCTCTTATTACAGTTGCTAGTCCCTCCACTACTGAATAGAAATGATGAAAGCAGACACCTTACCTTGTTTCCGATTTTAGGTGGAAAATGTTCAATATCCCATGATAACACGATGTTAGCTATAGGTTTTTCGTAAATGCGTTTTTATCAGATTGCGTCAGTTCCCTGTAGTCTTAGATGGCTGAGAGTTTTTATCATGAATGGATGCTACATTTGCCAAGTGATTTTCTAATTGAGAGAATTATGCTTTTAAAAGTCATTTATTTGCTTAATTTGGTGAAATTACAACTTATTTTTAAATTTAAAGCAAACTTGCATTCCTAGGATAAATCTCACTTGGTCGTAGTGAATTACACTTTTTATATAACACTGGATTCAATCTGAGAATATTTTGTTGAGGATATTTGTGCCCCTGTTCATGAGAAATACTGCTCTGTAAGAGAACATGTATTTTGCTGTTGCTGGGTACAATGTTCTATAAATATCAACTAGATAGTTCTTCAGTCAGGTTTCCCAGGAAGCTGACTCTGCCAGAATGATTTGGAAGCAGAAAGTTTATTGGAGAGTGCCTCCATGATCAACAACTGTTGGGCAAGCATGAAAAGCAAGAATGGGCTGAAAGAGGGGTTGAACTGGAATATAGTTACCACAAAGGCCTCAGTTGATCTTATTGGGAGCATGGAGCTGGGCATCTCTTTAGACTTCCTCACTTTCCAGCCACTTTGTTACCCTGCACTCTATCTGCTACCTGTCAAACCAATAAAGCTGCAGCTTTCTGGTTTGGTTCTAGCTGCTCCATGCCATATGGACTGGGGAGTGCTTTCACGGGAAGAGCCATATAAATGTGAATCTCACTCAGTGAGTGCAGTTCCCATCTTTCAAGGGTCAAATCCCCTCCAGATTCCATCCGTTTTTTTTATTTCTCTCCAGGAACCACAAATAGATTATTTTAAAACTTTATCCAAAATTTATCATTATTATCTATGAGAGGGTTAATCTAACACAAGCTACTGAGTTATTATTGGACCTGAACCTCTTCTACCTTTTAAATACTGAATAGAAAAGTTAACTGTTAAAGTTGAATGGACCTTAGAGATTTTTTTTAAACAATCCCTTTTTTAAGAATTCTGATCGACTGGTAGGAATCCCCCACCTTCAGAAGATGGACCTCTTTATCTTTTGACCAACTCCAATGTTAGTCAAAGGCTCCTCTTGTAATTTCTTCCACTGCATGCCCCAGGGGGTTTTACAGTCTGGTAAAGGGAGACAGATAATGGACAAATATTTATGGACTGGGATGAGAGCTAGTAAGAAATAAACAGAGTGCCACTGTAGAGATTAACATGGGGGGTAGTCAGGGAAGGCCTCTCTGAGGAGGTGATCTTTAAGCTGAGACTTAAGGATGAGGGGAAAGAGAAGTACATATACAAGTCCTGAGGTAGCAAAAGACTAAAAATAGACTTACCATGTGATCTAGCAATCCTACTCCTGGGCATATATCCAGAGGGAACCTTAATTCAAAAAGATACATGCACCCCAAAGTTCATAGCAGCATTATTTACAATAGCCAAGACATGGAAACAACCTAAATGTCCAATGACAGATGACTGGATAAAGTAGTTTTGGTATATTTATACAACGGAATACTACTCAGCCATAAAAAAGAATACAATAATGCCCTTTGCAACAGTATGGATGGGCCTGGAGATTGTTATTCTAAGTGAAGTAAGCCAGAAAGAGAAAGAAAAATACCATATGATATCACTTATATGTGGAATCTAAAAAGAAAAAATGTAAATAAACTTATTTACAAAGCAGAAACAGACTCACAGACACA